ATATTTTATTACGTTTAGCAATGATTTCGATACGTTGCATTTACAGTGACTGGGGTGTTGGAATAATTCTTTAGAGAGAGTGAATGCTTTCCCCATGCTTACTTCTATGCTTATTAAGATTCTTTTGAGCACCAGCTCCGCAAATCATCAATTACTATTAGAGGTTTGCATCTTACTGATACCGGTGGTATATTGACAACTCTTTTGCTCGAAAGCAAAACATATTACAAGCACATCATGATGCGCGCTTGGATGTGTGATTGTTTTCTCAAGTGTTTCTGTTGCGTATACAGTTGTAATGATTGAAAATCGGAACAATCACAAACAAGTGAGAATCTTGCTATCGCAATATAATGATGATGATTTCGTCTTCTTTCCTCGGCTAATCATCAACGTCCGCATTGACATCTATCATGCTGACACCTGTCATTTATTGAGCCCAGGTGGTGAAGTTGGCGGGGAACTCCCAACAGTTACAATGTGCACTCAACAGATGGCACTGCGATCACATACGGGTGGTAATTATATGCCTTGTATGAGGAATTGATTAGTGGGATATCTTGTTAATTAGATATCTTTGCTAAAATCCGAAGTCCCTCCTTTTTTACATATTCTGCACAGAAAATACTTTGTAAGCCCCGCCCCTTGCCCACCCCTGACAGGATTTCGCGCCATTTTTTCATGAATGCGGGGGGCAGAAAGTATATTTTGTGCAGAATATGTAAAAAAGGACATGTTTTGCAGTGTCAGGTACTCTATTTTGTAGTATGTGAAAGGGAAATCACAAATCGAGTGTTATCAAAATACATGGCATGTTCAAAGATTGAGTTCGTGATAGCGAATTTTCTCAATCAAATTTGATTTTTTTTGCCTCTCTAGGGGCTGATAGTAAAGCGGGTAAAACTACTACCAACAATCAATACGAAACTAACGATTTTAAATTGGCTCACCACTTTAGTAGCCTATTGGTCCCAAGCAAACGATTAACGTACCCTATTCTAGTTGAAATTCTATTACTACACTATGTTTGTTTTGATTCGCTATGAAAGTTTGACAGATAACATCAGGGGTGTGTGGATTCATGCAGAATATGCAGGGTGAGTGAAATAGCTTGGGACTGCTTGGGACCGTTGTTCTGGTACTGAGTGAGCCAAAAATAATAATGATTTTCTTCGGGACCCAGTGGTCTTAGAGTTACCTCTATGCTACTACTGTGTTACCTGACTTATAACGAATATACGTTGTATACGAGTACCCCGAATACAACGTATGACTCGTCTAATTTTGCATAGCATTTGCAATGTAAAATTAGACGAACTATACGTTGTATTCGGGGTACTCGTATACAACGTATATTCGTTATAGGTCAGGTAACACAGTAGCAGAACAGCGTCATCTTTGTGGAAAATGGCCTGAAGATATGATTAATTGGACGTTGGTGTTTGGAGGCCAAAGGAGCAGGACCAGAAGAGTCACTGTGCACAGAAAAAAAAATCTGAATTTGTACTATCGCGTAAAATCTTTTCTCGTTTAAGGTGATACGATCCCGATGTAAATCATACAAGGTCTGGAACAACAGGCAGCTTGCTGGTGTAAGAAGCAGAAATGTTGTAAACATTGCTGAGCAACCGAATGACGACGTCACGTCAGCACAACATTCCCTACTGCCAACAGCAGATGTGACGTCACAAAAAACAAGTTTCGTGTAAAAAGATTAATATTGCAATGAAATACGAACACCACTAAATATTTCCACATGTCACTAATATCAATAAGCCAGTTGGGTCAGACCTTGTATGATTGGCATCGATACGATCCTGCATCCACAAATACAAAGGCACTTGCACTGCCACTTCGAGTTTTCTAGGAAGTTAATCTCGGACGCTATTATTACGATTTCAGGTATTAAATTTGCATCACCATAATTGACCACTTTGTCAAGCAGTTTTGGTGTGACTTTCTACCAGCGATTCCACAAAACTGGACCAACTAATTTCTATTTTTTATGAAACGCACAAATGATGGCTACTTTTCTCGTGGTTCTAGAAGAAAAACTATAAGGGACAGCCCTATGGGATTGTACGCAATGGGGACGTAGGACTACGTGGTCTTATGTAATAAATGTTATTTGTTAACTGCAGCAGGAGATTATGTTTTGTGTAGGAATAGGAATTTGAGCGAAGTGTTCTTCGTTTATACTCTTTAGTATGATGCGCTCGGCATAGATGACCCACAGCAACTCACGAAGAGCTACTGATTCCGATCAATAGCGGTGCGGCTTCTTCCTACTTCTATGGATGCTCATGTGGGATGTACTAGAGAACAATGTTCAACGTCACGTACCGAAAGCACTGCTGCTGCTGCTGCTGCTGCTGATGATGATGATGCCGACGACCGGAGATCGCCACACACGATAATTGGAACTAAATCCGATCAGCGGTTGAGGTCAACCTTGATCGCTAGCTGCTTGCGGGGAGCCTTTCGTTGTGTACCGGAGAACACCACCACTCACCACGCGGGGATTGAATAAACACCGTTTTGTGAGACCGATTGCAATTCAACTCTGAAATCTGTGTTAAGGAAATCACTTTTCACAGACAATCGGTGATAATTTTAATTATCATAGCAATAGTTGCACATTTGTACATTTTTTAAAAATGGTAAATTCTTAAATTTAACAGATGCGTAAGAATATTTCTGATCGATTGGTGGTAAAATTATTGAAATTGGTCCAGGGGCAGCTGAGTTATTAACGATCAAAATCTTTCATAATTTTGTTACATGATTCATTTTCGGTTTTTACAAAGTGTACCCCCATATAGAAATCAAAGACGTAGTCCTACGTCAAAATCTCAAAATAATGTTTTATTTCAAAGCTCGAGTGGTAGTAAACGTCATTTTAACTGCCTGAATGAAGTGGTTAATTGCTGCGTCCCAGCAACCATGGGGAAGCAGTTTTGTTATTGTATGTTTTCCGGTAGCAAATACTTATCCCCTGGAAAAAGTGAAAATTTCATTTAATGGTATCCCTGGCTTCTAGATCATATCACCTTGATATTCGCGTAAAAATAGCAATTGTGTAGAAGCTTCCATACAACATTGCTGATTTATCCGATATTACGGTTAAATTTACATGAAATATCGTGTAAATTTACCCCAAATCTAGCGTTAATAACGTTTGCGCTATATATCGTAGAAATTTACATGGATTTTTCATATGGTGTGGGAACCAGTGCTGTAAATTCTCAAAATCATTTGAACATTTTTGATGAAAATGAGAAAAGTAGCTATTCGCTATCAAAGGGGACCTCCTCCGAATGGGTGATATCAGTTGCTTAGTCATTTGACGAAGGCATGGATCATTCTCATTTGAGAAACGCTATATATCATTCGATTGAGTGTAACCGGAGTGTAACGGAGCTCTGGTCGACATTCCGGCGAAAAAGCTAAGCCAACCCGACACCAACCTGACTTCTATCAAACCCCAACCCGATTTTGACCCGACATTGACCCGACAAAAACCCAAAATTGACCCGACATTAACACGACATTGGGTCGACATCGACCTTAAATTAACCTTACATTGATCCGACATCGGGTCGACTTGTCTGTTCGGGACCATTTTCCTGGATTTCTTCCATACTCCACTGTCGTATATCAAATGATACTGAGTGACTCAATTGACAGTGACAATGAGCTTCGAATGAGAAAGGGGCTCTTCAAATTATGGTCATGTGAAAATTCGTTTACACAGAATTGATTGAATGGTTGTAGTGGTTCATCTTCAATCGAATGATATGAAAATTTACAGCACTGGTGGGAACACAGAGTGAAGCAGGTGAGATAAACCGGGTGATCCTCAGGCCGATTACCACTGCGTGAAAATGTAAAAAGAAGAAAATCGTTACAACTTTGAATTGTAATCCAGACGAGAATAAATTATTAAATGCAAAGATAGTTTGAGTTATGCCAGATCCGTTGGCAGAAATCTATTGTCTGTTACAACGGTTTGGTTTGCACAAAGCAAAACTATCGAAGATTCCCTCTACAGCAGATGGAGGAGAAGGATCAGCTACTCAATAACCACAACTATTTGGGTCTGATCGGGGACCTCCTGACCCCTGTACAGTGTTGGAAAAGTTCGCGATATTTCACAAAGTTCACCAAGGGAAAAGTTCGCGAGTCATAGTGAGTTTTCGCGAACTTTTCCATCACTGCCCCTGTACGTAGCACACAAGGCCAGACATCGTGTGTCTCGATTTTGGCACAAAAGTCCAGCTGACCAAATACCACAGGAGTGGAACATCGAATCAGAAAGTGGCTCCACTTGTCATTTGCGAACACTAGCGCACCTAGCGGTAGAAGGCATCTTCGGCCTGCAGTTAAGATAGGCAGCATGCTATGATAGTGTGAGTGCACATAGAAAGCCCGTGTGGAACGCTACCACAACACATCGCTCGTTGAGCAGAAAAACGAGCACTTTTTGATTCACCGATTTGTTTGCACTTCCCCTTCTGTTCTGTGCAAATACTCAAGATTGGACTAAAGCCACGAGGCAGATTGGCGCGACAGTAAGTCGAACTGTGGCAACCGCATAATGTTCGGTGGTGGACGAATGGACGAAGCAAACGTGCATTGTCTTAAGTTCCACTGAAGCTAAGCTCGTGGCGCTTGCAGAAGGGGGCCTGCCAGGTGCTTGTCTGGACCAAACGATGGATGAAGGAAGTTGGTGTTCGACCACCATATTTGAGGAAAATCAGAGCTATATTGTTGAGAAGTTACGCTTGGAGATCGGAATTCGTCTACATCTGATCGAGGAGGAGTGTTAGTAAGCGTTCAAACCGAACTAATAACCAAACCGAAAGCATGCCAGAAGGGCCTAACTCAAAACGTAAACAATTACTTTGGACGTTAAGTTCTCGCTAATATGAACACAATACACCCATGCAAAATAACGACTTAAACAGTGGTTCGTTTGATTTAGAAAAAAAACTCATTACCTTAATGTTGTCGGACTTCTTTCCATCCTGCTTCCACAATCCAAGCCGCTTGGATAGTTTGGTATACACATTAATTTTGATAATGGCCCGGTCATCCCGCTTAACATTCTGCTTCCTAGATTTAGTTCGAACCTCTTCACTGATTTCCCTTTTCACAATGTGATACTTAGACGTGTCATCCGGTTGTTGTACATCATCGCATGCAGGAATTATCGTAGTTATGCTGCAGTCCTCTTGCGATCCACACAAATAATCTCTCATGTTATGCGTGAATAAGTCCTCTAGTTCTCCCTTAGTTGCACCATCATCATTGCAAAGCGTGGTTGTATCTGAGCCTAGGCTTATTGTTATAACTTCTTCAACAGCAGTGGGTTTTTCTATAGCTGTGCATTCCGGAATCGTATCCTTATGCCATTTTGGATTTCGATTGTTACAAAGCAATATGGCAGAATTGTCCTCTCGATCGTGGAATGTATGATCAAAGAGACACGAAACTTCACACCATGTATGGGAAGCATTTTTCGCACATATCGTTTGCCCGTTGGGTGGCGAAGGTAGATTTTCACATTTGTACTCCTTAACTGTTACGTTTACCATGCACTCAGCTGCATTACCTGCAGAATCCTCCGCATGGTAGATCACTTCATATTCTCCAACGTCTAAATATCCAAAATCAATACTGCGAGTCATCGTGATATTTTCATTAGAATTGTCAAATACTGTTGGTTCATCCCATGTTACATAAGTCTCGTTATTGTTTTTTGACGATGATATGTAGAATGGAGCTGGATTGTAACAGCTTTCAATCACCGGAGCAGTTTTGTCCATCACTGTAACAGTAAAGTTACACTTGGCCTTATTTTTAAACGAATCAAGTGCGACATACGTGAAAAGATGCGTTCCATTGTACAGTTTTGTACCATTGTCTTTGATCGCCGGTTTGGACCAGAAGGTAAAATTGTCGCCACCATTATCAAATGCGTAAGGTCGATTTAGCCGCTTGACGATGGCATAGTTGTAATCGTCATGCATTTGTAGTGTGTAGTTATTGGGACACATGAGATGCGGTGGAGTAACGTCGACGCAACGTGGAGTCTTGGTCTTCTGGGTCCAAATGCCGTTTCGCTTACCTCCGCAAGATTTTGTCGAGGGACCTCCTTTGAGCTCGAAGCCGAAATTGCAAATCAGAGTACAGTTGGAACCATGAGCCGATTTCTGTTCAGCGCAATCCGTCGGGTCGTACTCTCCGAACGGGATCTTCGGTAGTGGAGGGCACAGAATTTCTGTAATAAAAATACATGAAATACTAGCTACAACTGAAAAAAAAAACGACGAAAGCATACGTTTGCATGTGGTTTGCAGCCCATCCCACTTTGATAGAGGTAAACAGTTACGGGTATTGGATCCTACTAGATAGAATCCATGGCCACACTTGAATGAACAGTCAGTATCAATTGGCATGGGTTCGGTAGATCGCTCCGATGACGCACTATAGTTTACAATAAAGGACTTGTTCCTTGGCGAGTAGTCGAAATGCAGGTTCAGGTCAGGATTCTTACATACAGTTAGTCCATAGTAAGGAATTTTTAGAGGTGGACACGGTTTCACTGAAAAAATGAAATGTTTTATAAAAAAATAAACAGTACAAAAATGTAACAGACAACTTACGAACGCATTTTGGATCATTTCCGGACCAAATCCCATTTTCCTGGCAGAGTCGAATACTATCTCCCACCAACTGATAACCTGATTGGCATCTGGTTCCGCATGCTGCATTGAGCACCTGACTGCAGGCGTTCGGCTGTTTCACGAAGTATCCATTTTCCGGAGGTGATAGTTCAGGGCAATTCATCACTTCACAACGCCCATCATCGCTTTGCTTGTAGCTATTCTTGCACACACAATCGCTCACATTCATTGCTGGAATCACTTGCGAAATGTGATTTATGTCCGGGCATTGCCGACACTTTCCTAGTCCATCCCAATAGGTGCCATTCGTACATGGTTGACATTTTCCTCGCAGACCGGACCCAAAGTACCCTGGCTGACAAACACATGAGTAGTGGCCTGAATTGGTACTACAGCTACATGTTGCATTCTCATCGCAACATCCACCACTACCATCATAGATAAAATCCGGATCATCTAAACATAACACATCGCACAAGGTTGTGTTAACTCCAATATTTTCCCCACTTTTATAGTCACTATGGAATGCTTTTCTGGCGAGAGTTTCGAAGTGATCAAAACTATCGAGAAGAAAACTATGGTTGTCACCAGGCTGGCTGGAGATATTGTAAAGCTCTGCATAATTTCCGCTTTGAATCCCAATTGAATATATGACTACGTTACTACGCTTCAGGGACTCGGCCAATGGAATAGGGTCGCGCCCATTCGAGAAACCATCAGTTATGAGGAAAATAATTTTTTTACTATTTACCCGTGCAAGGTTGAAAATTTCTTCAGCTTCCTTCAAAGCTCCATACGTATACGTTCCTCCTCCACTGAATTCAATTTTCGGTATTTGATAGTTCAGCAGTAGACATTTGTCGTTGTCTTCTATAGATGTTGATATCTGATCTATGTGACGAAACTGAAACAAGCTAAATTTAGTTTTCATTAAATCAATATTACTAATCAGGAACTAACAATTTTCTTCTGCGAGCTGAATGTGATGACCGCAACCCTTGTGTAGTTATAGCTGACATTGAAATCGGAGAGCAATTTTTTCACAAACTTGATCTCGCTGTGGAAGTTTGCCTTGCCCACGCTGGAACTAGCATCAATGAGAAATACAATGTCCACCCGCTTATGTTTCATTTTAATTTTTTCCACACTCTTCTTGAACAAACCACTCAATCGGTCGACCTTGGCTTTGATAACGGAGTTTTCATTCTTGAAAATTTCGTTGCTCATGGTAAGCCCTTCTGGTGACCCACTGTCTACAGACGTCTCTGAGTCTGCCTTACGTAACGATAGCATATCTCGCATACTACTGGTAGCGTCAGTCGTTTCCTGCGACGGGGATTCCACGCCAGGCGCCATTGAATCGTCATATTCTTGATAGTCTTCTATGGCTGGCAGTGGTGATGACGATGATGATGGAGGCTCGCTCTCCGATGTTTGCGTAACGACGAAGTCGAGTAGAATCAGCAACAGTACCAGACAGCATGGTGCCTGGCTTATTATGGAAAGACGCATGCCACTCAATCGTTCGTTGCGGCGTCGTATACCGACCGCTGTTGGTGATCTAAATGTGAATAGCTATAACAAACATCGTATGATGAGTATAGTGTAGAAGAGCGTTTATTTGGTTGATGTTTATTAAGGTACGATTTATGTTAAGCTATTGAGCAATTCAAACAAATCTTCCAGAAAGAGCCCGGGCCCGGGATGTTTGCCCGGGCTTTAACAAAACATAGCTTCACACTAATCTCATTCCCATCCATAATGTGTAAATCGTAGATTGCATACTGGCAACTGTCATGTATCTACTTTAGCGTTCTTATTATGATTGCTTAAGGAAAACTATTTGGGAGTGAATAGCTCTCCGATCGAAGTTCAGAACAAGAAAAGCATGACAATTATCATTGCCGGCCACGTCCATCTTCTCCGTAACGAGGAGAGGAAGGATATTTTAGATGTAACATCTACTTAACGGGATCCCAGCGACTCACCGACGCCTCCATAGATGCTATGGTGTTGGATAGTTGGCACCATTATGACCACCATTATGATCGCGCACGGGCAAAACTTCCCTACGTTGTGTGATTAATAGATGGTTAAAATAAGACACGGTCGTTTATCGGGCCATCCTACCATGGCAGAGGCATCGGAACTATTGAATTTATTTAAAATCTCTACAATAGAACGGTAGACATGATAACACTACGCTTCCGGCACTTGTGTGTTGATATGAAAATTTGGGCAGGGTAGTTGCATACGTCTAGCACAAACAAAGGCAGATATTGAATTTGCGAACGGCGTAGATACCCTGCTGGAGGGCGCAACCGTCAAGTCTTGACTGAACTGTCCGGAAAAAACTTTAAGTCGTCCGCGAACATAAGTTTAGAAGCACATGGTTGAGTGCACAGATCGTTCATGAACAGGATAAAAATTAAAGGCCCCATATGACTACCTTGGGGAACGCCTGAGGGCATCTCGAAACTAGACAAATTAATACCATTAATGCTCATATAGTCAGTTAAGTAAGACTGTAGCCACTTCGTAGCCCAGTTAGGCAATCCCATACACCTCATTTCGTCGACTGCAAGCGCATGCAGAACCCTATCGAACGCCTTACTAAGTCCACATACATTGCATCAACTTGTCGTTGTTTTATGTAGAGTTGATCAGTGAGTTTACGAGCACCATTAAGTTGGTCGTTGTAGAACGTTTCCTCACGAAGCCGTGTTTATATTCAGACATTATTGGCTGAACCGCTTGATACACAACATCATCATATGAAATTCCGCGATAATAGGCGTGTAGGTGTATAGGCGTTATGGACGCGACTTTTCACATTGTGGGAAAAACTTCACTTCAAAATAATCGCACAGGTGAAGTGAGGGACCAGGGCCGTTAGCAGAATCCGCAGACGAAGGAACTTTCTTCACCACTTCAACAGATGCATCCAATGGTGGCAGATGCAGGTTGTAATTAGCTATACTGCTCAGCCAGTCACGATGTTCTTCCGGAAAGTGTGCAGGAAGGGTAATTGAAAAAAACATCCTTGAAGTATTTTGCATAAAGATCAGCAGCTTCTTCCACGGTTTCAGCACGAGCTCCTCTATAGGATACATCATGAGATACACCGCCATTATGCCTAAGTTTCTTCAAGTAGGTCCAGAAATACGATGGATCCCGCTTAGCATCTGAAGATTTGCGCAATACATACTCATAGAAAACTAAGTTCAGCCGTCTGGTGTAGTGCTCCTTCATGTCGTGAAGTAATCGCTTGTTTTCCTCAGTCCTTAGTTTGAAAAAAAACGTTTCCTGGCTTTTCGTAATCTGTTTCACAGGTTCCTAAGTTCAGGGTGGTGTGGTTGATTATGTCACACGTTTAGGGTGGAGAGGAGTTTTGGAAACTGTGACGAGCCATACAAAACAATTTAAGGTCCATACAAAAAATGTGACAAAGGAGGAGAAGGGGGGGGGGTTAAAATTGGCCAAATTTGCTTGACATAATTAATGGACCTTTCTTGATGGGAATTCGGGCAGTGGTATCGGAATCGAATTAAAAGTAAAACATAACTTTAGTTGTACGAAACGAGTTTTTCATAACGCACGAGTTTCTCTTGTATAAAGTCAACATAGAATGATAAAAGTTTACTTGACATTTAGATATGTCAGTCTAGAGAGTTCGATTACAGCTTGCTGTCGAGGGGTTGATCGATGCAGGGCTAGTAAATTGACAATCCTAATACCTTCCGGACCAGAAATTTGTGGCATCGCGAGTGATAATTTTTAATTTCAGTTTATTTACGCGCTGTAAGGTGCGTGAAGGGGCTCGGCACGGTCGGTGTTGATGTTGGTTTGCTGGCAACTGTTTTTGCAAAAAATTAGGTGCTTTCGACCGAAATTGATATCGAAAGTGTATCAAAAGTGCTTCTGAACGTGTTTCGCACGGTTGATTTTCAGTGGAAATTCTGTATCACAAAATTGCTCTCCGAGTTCCTTTTTTTTGCCGTTCGACGATGACGGTTTTGCTTTCGCGAGAGTGACGTTTATTGGATCCGTTTGCACGGGTGTGTTTTTTGTAACCAGTGTGCTTGTGATTTTCATTGCCTCCCGGGAGGCCGGATCACCGTATTCGGATGTCACGAGTTGTGTGCGATTTTGAACATGGTCCGGTTGGCAAATTAGCCGGGGAAAGTGCTGATAATGTGTCCGTCGCGAGTTTTGGTGGTGATTTGGTGGCCGACGTTGCCGTGAATCAGCAAGTTTAAGGCTTGCAAAAGTGCTCGTGCCAGTGTCGGAGATTGTGAACAAGCTGAAGGATGCCTCGCTGGATATGCCCAAGACTGGACGGGTGGTAGCTGGTGGCCGTGAACGGTTCCTGGAGAAAGCACTAGACACGAATCTCCTCCCAGATTACCATGGCAATGCAAGAAAAATTGTTTTCGTTGAAGGAAGTATTACAAAAAACGTAATTGCCATTAGATATTTTTACAAAGAGCGACAGACATCAGACATTAAGCTCAATTGGGTTCTTTAAGGGTATTGAGGTAAATGCATATTCGTAATCTGCATTAAAACTGGAACCCAAACCCAAAATTTCATCAATTTTGGTACACTGGAACTATTTTAAATAAGTACGATTACATTTGCAAAAATCACCTGATTAGCGCCCCTCGGTGTCACTTTGTATGGGAGCGAGCTGTCAGTTTGTCAGTTTAGTGTCAAACAGTGAAGTTATTATTTTGCTTTAAATCATGATTTAAAAATCGAGATGAAAGTGCGTGGGTTTGAAAAAAATATCGCTGTGCTCAGAAAACAAAGCTCTTTCAGATGATATATAAACACCGATATATTTTTCAAAATTAAAGAACCCAATTGGAGGTGTCGGACAAAGGTGTTATATCCTAGAAAATGGTAAGTTACAAATTCGCTGTTGTTGTTGTTGTTGTTGTAGGTGCCGTCGTATTCGCCGTCGTAGTCGCCGTAGGCAGTACCTTAGTAGAGGTTTTCATCTAATTTCTGTCCTACTAAGCACAACCCATGTTTTACCTCTCTTTCTTGAACGGGTTTTAACAATCAATGAAATGTTTCTATCAAAAATGACTTGTAAATTTATTCCCATATCCATAAGTACCGTTGAATTTGATAAAGAGCCACACATTTTTGAGATATTGTTAAAAATCTAACACTGCTTCTTGATTCCAACCTTGGAGGCGAACCAGCCCAAGGCTGAAAGCCTCCCTAATAAAGATAAATTAATTAATTCTTGATTCCAAAGTTGTCCTACGAGTTTCAATTCCGTCCAAACCACAAACGAAGTGACAGACGGAGCGGCTCGAAAACTTTGGTGACGCACCTGCTAATGCTATTTTTCAGTGTACCACATGGCAACACCACTACTACTGGATTGTGCCACATGGCAATACTACTAATGTATTGTACCACATGGCAACACTAAATATACTAGAATGTTTTGGTTCTATCTCTTTCACTCTACTCTAAACTGAAATGCATAAAAAAATGACAAAATGATACACTTTTTGCACACTGTCAAAGATCGTATTGCATAGAAAATCAACTATGTTCAAATCAAAACAAAAATACTAGCCCATCTAGTGGCTGATGGCACAAGCTTCTAAGAAAATTCTATTACAGCGAGCCACATTATTTTAATTGATTTCTTCGCCAGTTAGTCGTCTGTCACTTCGTTTGTGGTCCAAACGCATTGAAACGCCATTGGAATTTCTTCTTCCTACGGATGAAGGTAGAAAAGGCGAGTTCACTAGAAGCGCTTACATATTTTGTTTTGAGAACAATGAGTGTAAATATACACACAATACGCTCTAATAGACTTTGTGTTGTAGCTTGTGAACTAACGCATCGCGTACAAACGTATTACTGGTTTGTGCACGGTGAAAGCATTGATTATACACTGGAGTCGCGTTTTTTTACGCGGTTTTTTACGCGGATTTTGGAATTTACACGGCTTTTTTTTACGCGGTTTTCGGATTTTTTTATAGAACATCATGGGTTCAATCCCAAGCTCTCCCACAACATAATAAACCGCCATCGTTGGGTTCCGAGAGCATAAAGCGCAGTTAATAACCCATAGTTGAATTGTTTAAACCATGAGTTTCGGAAAGGGTGTATGCGTGAGCTAGTTTGGAAGAGATTGCTGGCTGCTTTCAGATACGCCGCTTCATTTGAATAGCTTTTTGTTTAGTCGGTCGTAGATTGTGGTAACGTAAGGGGCACGGTGGCTATAGAGCAACCGTTTTTGCTTAATGAGTAGATGATCATGAGTTAAAACCCAAGTCTCATTTCATTACTGAGTTGATCTATCATCCAGGCCACTTTAGTAGAAAATTATTAATAACAGAAATTGTAGGAACGATTCAGAAAAGTAATAAGTTTATTTAGACCATCCGTCACGTCATTTGCTTAACAGGTTTTAAAAGATCGCATCACTTCCCAATGTGAATCCAGATCTAACTAACCCTTCCCACTAGCAAAAACGTCCTTCCCGTGACAACCGTGGAGATCCAGAGGTATACTAGGTCTCTAGTAACAACGGTTGTTGAAAT